CAATATAGACCCAAAACTATTATATTCATTATTATGGGGACCCCTAAAAAGGTACCCCTAATTTTGGGTAACACCCATTTTGGGAGTCCCCAGAAGAAAGATTGTAGTACATTGGGGACCATGCACGGCGCTGGGAGGACGGCACTCCGCCGGAGGATGTGTTTGCAGCTGCAGATGCTGCCTTGGAGACCACTTTCAGAGGTGCCGTCACAGCTTGGCAAGCAGCCCTCCATCTACCCTCTGCATATCTTAAATACTAGGGACCATATATCCCTATTTAAAGGTACAAAAGTAGCTGGTGTTCGCTCCCGCAAAGTCTGCATTTGGTCAGGTGAGAATCCGATTCCGCTGTCCTCCACTCGATGTCCACTACTTGACGCAGAGTACGCGCATCTAGCCGCCCGGCAGAGAGACCTGTAAACTGCAAGCCTGGGCTAGCTGTAAGACCCTGCCCACTCCCACTCCACATGCCAGATTGCTCTCAGAAAGAGTCAACTTCCAACCCCGAGCCCGACGCCCTTCCAAGACGTGGTTTGCTTTGCCCACGGATGCGGCCGCAGCGTTGAAGAGCGACGCGCCGCCGCTTTTGGATGCGGAGGGTGCTGTGTTCACAGCTGATAAGGCAGGGTGAGCAAAGTTGCAATGAATCCTTAAGGCCTGACACAGGGGCCCTCTAACACAGGCAACGCTGGGGCCCGCCTATCATGCAAAAGCTACGGGAAAGTAGAACAGTGTCACTGCTTGCGCAGACCTTTGTGGAACGCCAACTGCCTCTTTACTTTTGCATCTTGTTTGGGAACTTGCCCCCCAACGAGTTTTGATCATTGTCTTGCCTGCAGGCCGTAGAGCGTCGGGCACCCGGCTTTGCATCATCCCCAGTTAAGCAAGACTTTTCAAGCACTGGAAGGGCATGATTCAAAAAGCCCATGAAAGCCACCTTCATTTGATTAAATTTGATTACATCTGGGGCTGGCAGTGGATTCCAGCTGGCTGGCTTCCGAAAGAAGCTGCAAATGCGGTGGCTGTAACATTGATGCCTAGATGCTACTGCTGTTCACTACCCTACGTCCGAGTTAGCATGCTTGCGCCCTTTGTTCATGCTGCTGAGGTCCGAACTGCGCAGTTTTCTCCGTATCTGAGGGAGCTGCTGCTGAGTCCACGTCGGCTGGCTCTGAGCAAGGCATGGAGGGTGCTTCGGTGCATCTGAAAGTTGTCCCGTTCAGTGTACGTGGCGACATACGACAACAGGGAGGGACGTGAATGGCGAAACATTGAAACGGATGTCTGGTTTCTATTGGCACATGTGGTCACAATTTTTACAAGGTATGTTTCTGCTGGTCGTGGTGGTGCTGGAGACGGGCTCTTGCTGCTGCTGCTGCTGCTGCTGCTTCGTCATGCTGCGTCGTTTTCTTCAGCCACCAACGCCATGCTGCTGCCGCCGACAGTCGCCCCAGCGTCGCCCCGCAAATGCCACCCGTAACAGCTTGCAGTAGCCCGGCGCGCTCAAGAGGCCCATGCCCCCATGTGAAGCTCTGCTCGATGGTGTTTCTTGAGAGATGCATTCCAGCACAGCACACAGCCGAATCCGGTATGGAGCAGCGATGAAGTGCCTTCGTTTGGTCATTATCCCGATGCAACATGCAGGTCAGCATTATGTGCATTCATGTTTCATTATGAAGTAGTCGACGCGTCAGAGTTGTGCTTCCCTTGTTCGAGGTCTTTTAAGCCACTGGTTTCGAGCAGCGTAAACCCAAAGACTGCTTCATTAGCACTCATTTGGGTGGTTGTCAAAATTATGGGCCCTTTTTGGATCCCTACTATAATACGGCACCTAATATTTAGGGTACCCAAAAAGGGACCATAATTTTGAGAACCACGCATTTGCAGGCTCTGCTTCGCCTCCAGATGCTGACGCAGACCTCATCGCATTCGAGTTTGGATGTGATGAGGTCAGGGTAGTGTCATGTAGGGATGTGGTCTAAAGTCTAAACTCTTTTAAGGCGAGATTTGTCGGGATTGTATTGGGGACTACTATGGCTGGGTATTAAAGAGGATACTAAGAGATTAAGACTATAGCTCATGTGGAGTTGTATACAGGTGTGTGAAATGTTGTCAGCCGTCCATATCTTACAAAGTAGGAGTTCCTCATGTAGCTCTGCCCTAGCCAGCTTCCTCAGTGTATGCCCAAAGCGCAACGCCTGAATGTCTGCGGCAGGAAGATGACTTATTGGCACCAGGAGCCTTGATTGCTGGATCTTGATTCTTGCCCGGCAGATTACGCTTTGGCATTACGAATAGTAATAATGATACGAATTACAAAATTGATACAATAATACTATATATTATATATATATTGATGTAATAGTAATAACATAGATAATATGAACAACATACATTTCATTTATATGATTGATAACGTTATCAAATGTTCGGGCAAAGTCAGGTTTGGGCCCAAGAGTTGGGTACTTGTTCGGTAAACCCTAAACCTTAAACCCTAAATTCGGGTGCCCTCGTCTACTGTGAGCCCAGAGACCCTTGGTCTTGGTTCCTTGTGAACATAATCTACTTTGGGGGGTTCCAATATGAACCCTACAGTAGTCCCTCTATATCCCTACATAGCTCTATATCATCCCTATATAACCCTCACAATCCCTATGGTAATAGTCTGCCACCTTGGGGTGGAGCCCTGACTCCATGAACCCTAAACCGTAAGCCAGAGCTCTCAGGCGGAGAAAAGGCGCGAAAAGAAACAAAAACAAACACAATTTGGTTTAAATAACTCTAAATAGATATTCCCCCCAGTTTCCATTTCATTTTCCATTTTCTTTTCCATTTGATTCTCCATTATAGGGGGATAATCCCTTAATTTAACAATTCCATGGGTCTTGAGGCCCAACTCCGTCCTATCCAAGCACTGCGCTGGCTCCGAAAGTGCCGAAGTCACTCCGCAGTCAGGTTGGAGTTTCCCAAATGTACTATACGGGTTATTTTCGGTTATATTCGGGTTATATGCGATAGAGGGTTATATCGGGACTTCTATAGGGCTTATGCAGGGATGAAAGGGCGTTGAAATATCACCCCCTTCCAATGTTGGAGAATCGAATGGAAAAGAGTTGACATGGAAACTGGGAGAATGCTGGAATTCACACAGTGGCATCCTCCTTTAAGCCTTAATACCTTCTACCTCAGGAATGCTGGTACACTTTTAGCATCAATCATGGAACATAGGATCTTTAATCCTAAACCCGCAACCCTAAATTCCAAACTCTAAACTGCGAACCCTCAACTCAACACGCTCAACCCCTTGTTTTTTTGGGTTCCAGAGCAACCCTCAGGTCGCAGGTGGAATCAAGGAGCGGCCTGGCAGCTGCCATTTTCGTTGGGTGCAGGGTTGAGGGTTTGGCGTCTCATTAGGGTTTAGGCATTAGGGTTTAGGGTTTCCTTCGGGTAGTTATTGAGACTATTGTGGATGGAGAATTTCGTGCACCACCTAGGACAAACAGAATACTGTACTTATTGGGGCATAGCATACAAGGTACAAAAATTTTCCGCATCCACCGTAGGTTAGCTTTGAGGACCCTAGGGCCTAGGCTAGGTGTAGGTTCAGGGTGCTAAGGGTTTGCAGGGACTTCTCTTTGAGAAGGTCTCATGCGTCTTTACATGAAAAAGCTTCCAAGTCATGTTTCCCTCGTTAGTCAATCCTGTGTGTGTCCCAGAATCCTCATACTTCTGAACTTGAAACCCTAAACCCTACAGCCTGAAATTTGGCAAGAAGGACCAGCCAAGGGCTGTTTTATTCTGCCTGGACATCTCACTTGAGCACAGGCGCATGTCTGTTTACCAGCAGATCCTATATGGAGATGGTTGTTTCTCAACATTTCCTCCCTCATAGGGACCCTAGGATCCCTATAACATCTGACATCCCTTGGGTCCCTCAAGGAACCACACTTTGAAAAAAGAATCATGTCTTATGAGGTATGACATGATCCGGGAAGGAGATCGTCTCCTTGTGGGCCTGTCCGGTGGCAAGGACGCCCTGCCTTGCTGTGACAGGAAGGAGAGTTAAAGTTAACGGAGCAGCTCCCAATCTTTTTTGGGTTGGTGGTGCGCAAGTTGCAAAAGCATTCCTGCTAGGAATGTTCGAGGAGAACACACGTTTTTGACAGTTTTTGTATGTCGCCGTGCCCTTGCAAACCCCCCCCGCCTTAAAAGACTTCGCCGTCAAAGCGTTCATCTGCTTCTCAATGTTGTTTGCCCTCAGCTGGACGCATGCAATGGCAGCCCATGTAATCTGTTGTGTACCATTCCAGCACACTTTTGACTTTCCAGTTGGTTTCTCGCTTACTTTCTCATTGTTAGGGAGAGGCAGTTCGAGTCTCTTTTGCCAGGATAGTCTTACTATGCTTCATGTGCTGCTGGAGCTACAGCGGCGTTCTCCGGTGAAGTTTACGGTTGCGGCGGCAACTGCAGCTTGGCTATCGCGCCCAAGAGGCTTACTGGTTCTTGAGTAGCTAGAAGTAGGTACTGCATGTCCTCAGAACCATTGTAAATGTCGTAACGCCTAGCTAGTCAGTTGCAAGGTGTTACAACTGTCCATGAACCTCAAAGTGCTTAAAAGTTGCTGATCTGCTAAGGTCAACCCAGAGACGCCCGAGTTCTCGCCACAGCCTCTCATCGAGACTTGGTCACACTTGGCTATCCCTGAAAACAGGTGCTGCTCTCTGTTGCCTGCGCTTTAGACTCCAAATGCAAGAAGTCCTTATTCAAGGCAGCTCCAGATAAAAAAAGAAAACTGCACTCGACCTCAGAGCATTTACTGTGTTTGTTTCAAGCCCCAGGAGTACATGAAAGCGCTACAAGTCCCCTACCACTTCTTGTCAAAGCCGCTGATCGAGATGGCGATTCTTGGCATCCAACACTTGGGCAGCAAGATCCCAAGACACTCACAAGACATGTGATGGGTTGGGTGCAAAATGTGGCGTGATGTTCTGAGGAAATGCCATTTGGATCCCAAAAAGCCTTCAATATGCCACTCTGCAGCACCATTTCACACCCTCGACCCTAAATAGTAGTCTCCACTTAATTTTCAATTGCCAATATGATCCCAATGTACTAGAGTAGTTTCCATTTGAGTTTCCATTTTCCCTGTATAACACCTATATAAACCCATTGTAGTAGTTTCCAGATTCTTGTCCATTATCCCTATATAACCCCAATACATACCCCATAATTATCCCTATAATCCCTATAGTTTCCATTTTCTTTTCCATTATCCCTATATAACCCCTATATAACCTCTACATAACCCCTAATATTACCCCATGCCTCACGGCTGGTCTCCAGTGTTTGTTTTCCTACTGGGGGTTGGTGGGGAATCAGGGAATATGTTTGGGTAATATAGGGATGCTGGAAAAGAGAAATGGAAACTTCTACAGTATCATGGGGTATATATTGGGGTTAGTAGGGAATAAGGGAATAAATGCAGCATATGGGAAATATGTCATTATTTCCTACGTGTTGTTTGTGTAGGAGAGCTGGCTGCTGGGTACAGCGGTCGTGCGGGGTTCCCAAAGCAGACTTTTGCCCCAATTTGCAGATCCGGGACTTTACCAACATTAGGAGAAGGATTATAGTAACTTGGGGTGTATATATTAGAGTCACTCTTTTTTTGGGGAACTACCATGACCACATTCTTCATTGTTATTGTTGCAAGCCTGACTTCCGGCGGAGTACCGAAGGCCTGTTTGCGAAGTCATTGATTGCATTGCTGCTTTGTTCTCGTACTGTGGGTTAGCAGGGAACACGGGAATACAGTATATAGGGATTATGTGCCCTTATTTGGTCCTATCTCCCAGAAGGTTTTGGTAGTTGCTGCGCCGAGGTTCCTTCTGTGCGCGGATGAAGCGCGGAATGTTGTGCCTTGTCGGAGAAGTGCAGATTTGCAAGGGCCTTCAATGCAGAAGCCATTTGAGCTATAGTCTACACTCCTTAAAGGGGGTTATTCGGGGTTTATATAGGTGACAAGTATAGGGGTTGCTAAGGGGAATGCAACGAGTTTTGACAACGGCCCATTTGATGACTGCGAGTCGCGCCACCTTACTTGTTGGACGCATTCGCTGTGACAGGTACACATGCATGCGGGAGAATGGGTACAATGTTGCTTGTTGGCACACTGGTTGGCTTTATAACCCTCAATATATATATATATACATATCCTGATTTTGAGAATTTCCATTTTCTTTTCCATTCTCTCTAAATAGCCCCAAGATCTTGAAGCATTCCATGTGGACTGAAGTGTTTCACAGTGCGTGAAGAAATCACAACATTCATGCTGCCGTTCTGGCACTTAATGGTCCAGGTTCTTTGCTTGGGACAGTTCCTTGGCATCGCATTCGCCTCCCCTTGGGTGTTGGACACATTTTCTTGCGCCTGCATGTACTTTCTCCAACTTGTCGCCTTCTGCTTGTGCGTGCAGCAGATCAGAGGCACCTTGATGACTTTGCAGAGTCGTTTCTGATGTCCGCCTTTCGCAATGGTTCACTCAGAACTATGAAGGTGCGAGTGCAGCAGCTTCAAAATGTTTGTCCTCATGGGTAGAGCCGAGTTCCGATGGGCGACATGGCAACGTAGACAAGCTTTTGCAGTGTACCTGCAGGCGAACTATGCAGTTGCTGAGAAGGATCTTCGAGTTTGCCGGCCTTTGGTGCATGTGCGTGAGAAGACACTTGCGCAGTTTGCCAAGGACAACAGGCACAACTGCTTAAATTTGCAAGTGAGAAGCTTCTTTTCTGACTTTCCATGCTGTAGCAGGCTTCCGGTGATTGCAGACAACTGCCCAGCCTGCTTTGCGGCACCGAAAGAGCGGCACCGCCCAGAGCCCAGACTGGTTCGGGATCCCATCACTTACTGGGGCTTACTTGCGAATAAGCGAACATAATCCCTACATAATACCATAAAGTACCTACAGAATTTTCTTCCCTTATTCCCTTGTAAGCCCCAGTAAGATCAGCCCGGGCAGTCGGCAGCCAAGGCATCAAGTTGATGCTGTCGCAGCAAGAATTCGAACACCCAGACCTCTTTTGGTCCTTGAGTTCCTGCATGAAGCCACTGATGTCCATCGCACAGACAGAAAAAAACATGGCCGCTGGGCACATCAGCCTATGTTGGGGTTATATTGGGATGATGGGAAAGAACATGGAAACTACTTATGATGGGTTTATATGGGGGTTATATAGGGATTATGGAAAAGAAAATGGAATAGTATATTGGGGTTATATTGAGATAATGGAAAAGAACATGGAAACTACTGTACAGGGTTCAGCGTTTAGGGGCAAGGCCATTTGACTGCTTGTTTGCGGTAGAGACTCTGGCCAACAGCAGAAAGTAGTATGTTACCCAAACCAAACGGAAAAGAATGTGGCAAATTAGATGGACGTAGGGTACTGCCCCCCCGCAGTAACAGTTGGATAATTAGTACAATATGGTTATATATAGCCCTTAATAGGACCCCTGATATAGACTGTTCCTGGGTGGGAGCAGTACCCAAGATGGACGTTTAGAGGGGCTTAGCCACTGTTTGTCAGCCAGGGAGGTGACAGACCGACCGCAATCCAACATGGTAGTCTGGGTTGCTGTTAAGGAACTGATGTTAAGTTACTATAGCGGGGAAACCATAGTCATCACTATATAGACTATATATAATCAGTATGATAACTAGTTACTATAGTGGGGAAACCACATTCAGTACTATATATATATATAACGATTATGATAACTTAATGTAAGTTCTTTAACAGCAAGCCAGTAGTTACTGTGCAGGAAGCCTGAGCTTTCTACAGTCATCCCCTTCTTGGTACCCCTAAGTATTAGGTCCCGTAATATCATCTATACCAAACAGGACCCATAATTTTGTGAACAACCCATATCCCTAAACCCCAAATACTAGTTCCCGCTGCGCTTTTCATTTTGTTTCATTTGAGTTAATACAATTTCCCCTAAACCCCTCACCCCTGAACTGCGAATACACACTAACCTCGGAAACCCTAGACCCAAAACGCTAATCCCTAAACCCTAAATAACCCCAATGTTACCTTCATAAACCCTTTTCAATAAAGGTGTTCCTATTTTTGGAAGCCGCCAAGTGAATGCAAGGACTGGTGGAGGCAAGTCCTCGGCACTGACGAGGCCTGGGCCGGTAACCAAAACAAGAACAAACAATTCGAATTTGGGTTAGGTTGGATACTGCCCCCACTCAGTTGGATAGGGGAGCTACAAGAACGCGGAAACGGAAACGACATTATTACTCATGGTTCAGGGCTTTCCGGCTTAGCCTTGAGTCCAGCTTGAGAGCATGGACGGCCGGTACACATTTTGCTTGGATGAAGTTTGCGTGGATAAGGAGATGCCTTAAAATCACGAGCTCATGGGAAACAACACATGGCTAGCCCCTAGCCTTGAACACAAGGACCCCGAGAAGAGACCTACTATTACTATTATTGCCGTTAGTACTATTATTACCATTCTTATCATTTTTACATTGATTGAACGCCCCTGCCAGATGCTTACATAAATGCTAAGAAGCCACGCATCGCCTGCTCCTGCCATTCCTCATTATTGTTATATATTGTTATTTTGATTATTGCTATTAAACTGCTATTAGTATTTTTATTACTATTACTACTAGTACAAAAACTATTTTTACTGTTATGTTTTCTAGTTCATGACTGTTACTCTTATTATTATGCTTATTTTTATAGGCAAACCCTAAGAAGCCCTGTATTGGCTCCTTTAAGCAACGCGGAGTGACCGTTGAGGATGACGATGAGGCTCCCGTCTCCGAAGCCAAGCCGCGTGGCGACGCGAGGGAAGGAAGACAGGCACCACGACGATAAAAATGGTAATAGCAGTGATAGTCATAGTAATGACAGTAAGAAGATTAATACCAGCAATATTAGGGATGTGATAATGGTAATAATAGTAATAGTATTAATAAGAGTATTAAGAGTAAGAATAGTAATCATAGGAATAACACCAACAATAGTAGCAATAGTTATCATAGTAATAGTAATGGTAATGGTAGTAATCGTAATACTAGTAGTAATAGTAATAATAGGACGAATAGTCTTGTGCGGTCTCCCGCGCTCGCATAAGTAGTTGGGCTAGAAGTCGGGAATTTCTTGTAATTGTATTTAAAGTGAAGGCAGGAATCGTGATCTGAATATTCGCGATACAGCTGAAGACAGGAGGAAGCGGCTGTGGCAACATCCTCTCCCTGCAGAGCGGAGCAGGTTGGTTCTTGTCCTTTCATACCCTTCCCGCCAGCACGATCATCATAATCGTTGGGGGGTGTAGGGTGTAGGGATGATGCTCTAGATGATTCGCACCATGATGCTTGTGCTTGGGTTGTGTGCTGCTGTGGACGGGCTCTTCCCAGAAAACCATGATATTTCATGCAATCGCGCAAGCACATGGTACCCTGAAGTGTGTCAGCCTAAGGGCATAGCAGAAGAGCGCGATTTCGCACTAGTTAGTAGTCGGCACTGGCATTTGTCCAGGATACTCGCCCAGGGCAGCTTGCGGCTGTTGCCTGTGCTTCTGCGCTTAGTGGAGCCATGCTGATGTGGCTGATCAGCCGCCGAAGGTAGACAGCGCCTTGGAAAAAGCGCCGTCCAAATGCTGCAGCAGCGTGTTGCTTCTGAAAACTTTGTTGAAGACCTGTGAAGGTGTAAGTGGGCCCTGCGCCAAAGGGTAATGGGGCAGTGTTGATTGCTTGCAGTGTAGAAAGGAGTTTACGGTACATCAGGGGTGGCAGCATTGATCAAGGATGTTTTTGCGGACTCTGTAGTTTGCCAAGACGGGACAGGGCCTCGAGAGAAGAGTAACGCTAACAAAAGAATAATCAACAGCTGTTGTTGTGTTAAGAGTATTTTAGATTTTAGGGTGTTTATAAAAGCGATCCCAAACGGCGGACCCTGCCCTGAACCGTAAACCCTAGCAACCCCGCAGAAATGGTTAACCGGCCAGACAAGCGTCCACAGCGTCCCTTTCTGAAACCCTAAAGCCTAAACTCTGCCAAGCTAAAGCCACGAGACGTTTCGATCAAAAGTATTGTTCTTCAGTTGAGTTGCTTTAAAAAGGCTACAGCGACACAGCGACATGTTTCCAATTCCCGGGTTGCTTTTTGGGAGTTTCTGAAAATTATGTGACATGTGTATAGTAAGGATGATATACTTTGGGGTTTGTATTGGCTTCCCTATGTATTGTAAGTTGGCAGTTTGAAAATGTTGGCAGCAGAAGCCTGTTGACGCCTGCTTGGATACTGCTTGGATCAAGGTGTTTCTTAGTTCGGACAATTTTAGCCCAGTTGCCCTGGGCACCAAAGCACTGCGACCCAGCATCATGGCATCCACTAAGGGTGACTCTCACCGCCGCAAGCTCCGAGTGTTCATGGTGGCCTGGGCCAGAAGAGTATGCGAGTTGGTTTTTTGACTCGTTATATGGGGCCTCCTAGACATGATGTGTTGCTTTTTGAGAATGTCCGGTTATGGTGTACTTAGGGGTGCACAGTGGGACTTTAGTCAGGGAAACTTTTATGGCAAGAATTTCCAGGCAGCGATTGAGGAGAATCCCAAAGAGTTCAGCGAGTTTATTGATCGCAAGAGGATCGTTAATGAGCTCCGCGTGAACCACGCAGAACGCATCGATGCTGAAATCGCCATGAAGTCCAGCACCAGCATGAGGTCTTGATCTAGACCGGGGACATTGGGTATTTCCGAACACCGGCCTCCCTATAGACCCCAAATTACAATATTCTTCTTACACATTTTGGAAATCTCCTGTTTATACGTTGATTGCCATGTTTGCTTTAACATGCAAAACCTGGACCCCGTGCTCCTGTAGGGTCTGCGTTCGTTGACAACTGCCGGCAGGTCTATGGGGAGCAGCACTACCACCAGCACGGAGAGCACGGAACATCGAAGGAGATGCATCATCCACTTGTAAAAAGAGGTGGGCACGGGGTCCCAAAAAAGTCTCCCTTATTCATAGAACTACAGCCAGCTGCTGCCAAGAAGGAAACCTTAGATTCTAGAGCCTATACATCCTTAATGCAACTCCTCATGTTCAGAGGCACCTTCATTCTTGTAGTCTTATTCGTATTTTTGTTGCTATGGTTATTCCTACTAGTTTTTTATTGGCCATATGAGCTACAGACAACATGAGTGTACAAAGGGGCCATTAAGGGTGGACATAATTATCCCTTATGTAGTTGAGGTGTAGTCCCAATATATTCCCTAATATGAAACCATGTCCATGAGATATAGGGGACTTGTTGACTGTAGCTCCTACCATATCCTACTACCCTAAGCCCTTAACAAAACCCTAAACCCTAAACCCTGCAACCTAAACCCTGCACCCTTAACCCTGAACCCAAAACCCTGAACCCCAAGCCCAAAACCCTGAACCTTACAAGGCTTGACGGCCTCGAGCGAAGCCTCGAGCCACACCCAGCCCAAACCTTGCACCCGCCTGGTCTAGACAGGTGCAGAAAACCAATAAGAGGACAGGAGCGCGATCAGAGTTCGGGAAACCCTAAACCCGTAAAAGGTTAAGGCGAGGGTGGAGCGCCAGTGGGGGTGGGCCCCTGCAAGTCGGGGTGCGCGCCTGGGTGCTTCTAGCACAGCACACCCATAGTAGTTTTTTCATTTATCCCAATATAACAATATAACCCCTTATAATACTACTAATACCCTATACCCTAAACCCTAAGAGTTAAACGTTTTTTGGAAGCCCCAGGCCAGCCGCCTGGGGTCTGAGCAACTCTGCCGCACCGCTTCGGGGCCTCCCCGTCGTGGCTATGGCAGAAAGCTTTCCGGTGACAAAGACCAAGCTACGGTGGATATGGGGGACAAAGGGGTTTTAGGGTTCGAAAGGGATGTGTAGGGTTTAGCGTCGATACTAAAATCCTTCATGACGGTAAGTATACCCAAAGTCGACAGCATGTGAAGGTCATGCAGGATTTTTTAGTATCAACTGTACCAAACGGCATGAGTTTGGCGCAGCGCTGTTTGTTAGTTAGTATGCCAGAGCAAAGCACAGCCAAACTTGGAGTTAGAGTTTGGAACGTATTGGGCCCCGCCTTGGTCTTGGGAGGCTTCAAGGTCTTAGGGTAAGTAGAGACCCGAGACCACGAAAGCCATGACAGTTTGCAGTGATGGATTTCCATGGGACGAGTCCCAGCAGCCTCAGGCTGCCTGGACTTTGCAGTCCAGAATCTGGGTTGCTGTTGAGGAACTTAAATTAAGTTACCATAATGGGTATATGTAGTAATTAATATGGTTCCCCCAATATAGTAACTCAAATTAAGTTCCTTAACAGCAACCCAGGAATTTCAAGCCCTGCTTAGATCCATGGAGCCAGAGGTTCCATAGGGTAGGGCCAGTTGTTTTGCTGAATGAAATTTCTATGGTAGGTTGTGAAAATTATGATCCCTTTTTTGGGGCTGCAGTCCATGGAATATTAGGGGCCGTGCTGTACGAATAAGGGCTCCCAAAAAGGACCATAACTTCAACAGCCTACCCATGAGGAATGGAGCTGGAGCACGCCAGGGCTACCAGATCTTACCCTGGTGTTGGCACCGCCAAGCCAAAGCATCTACTGTGGCTGGAGGAAATTTTGCACCCCCTTATATACCCCACACCAACAGAAATTGACATGCCAGTATTCCTCAATCCACCGTATGTCAGGTTGTGTAAACATTCTACCGAATTTTCCCAGCCCTCACAGAGTGCTGCTCTGGAATCATGGCATGTTTTCTTGCTTTGGATGCGCCTTCTGCTGGAAGATTGCATCTGTCTCCCCTCCTGCTACTGTCTTTTTTAAAAACAAAAACAACCAGATTGAACTTGTCAGACAATCCTTAAGTCAAGAAATCTGCAAAGCATTGACCTGAACATATGCATGTATCCCAAGCGTAGCGAAGTGGACCTCCCCTGCTGGTGGAAGCATTGGCCCCACGCGGCTGCATCCCGAGGTGCCGCGACACTTGATTGGGTGAAGAATTTGAAAGTTGCGCAAGGTAATTTGTATCAACAAGTTATTGCTACAGTATACTGTTAAAGTATATTACGGTATGTTGTAATATATTACACTATATTTTTGGGTGGTTCCAGCAGTGGGCCCATCCCGGAGCAACATGCCAGATCTGACGAGTTGCCGAATATTCATGGTGCGGAATGCTTTGCATTCGGCACTCCGCGAAGCTTGGTTAGGACCTGATCCCAGGACAACAGTAGCTTTTCACATGATCCAGTTGCTTCATGCGTCGTAGGAGGTGTGAGAGGGATGCACATGGGAGTCTAGCACACTTTAGCTGGAGCGTTTTTCGCTTGAAAAAGACAGCGTGCTGAGTAAACGAAGTATCTAAAAACGTCATTGTAAACCTCAACACGTGTATAGCGATAATGAGGTGAAACACCTAAGAGATGACTTTGGCATCAGCCCAGAGAGGAAACGAGAATCGTACAGAGTACAGCTCGATGGGGATTGTGCTCGTGACTTCGCATATTAGGGTAATACACAGGAAAATAAAAGGAAAATACTATAGTACTATAGTATATTGGGGTATGTCTCGGGTTCTATTAGCGTATATATAGGAGCATCTTGTTGAGAGGTGCTAAGTCTCGTCCGGGCTTATGTCAAGACCGGCCCTCGCAAAAGTGCACAGATTGAATGGAGTTCCAGCTAAACAGAGCCCACTTGTAGGCAAACGAGTAGTGACAAGTTTTTCGAGGCTTCAAACCACATCCATGATAGTTGCGGAATGCTCTAGTGTTGTGAAATCGACCACATTTCGTGCCTGCCAGTGCCATGATTTCTTCACCGCATGGATACGGTTCCTGGAAATCCATCAAATTCAGCGTATCGAAGCTCAATCGAGCTTGTTACCAAAACTAAATCGCACTGCGGGGGTGTCTCAAAGCAATCCCAGAAAGGCATCAGTACCATCCTCATGGTTTGGGAAGCCCCATGTCGGAATGGCAGCAGAGCTGCCAATTATGCCGCCTTTTGTTGAATTATTGGTGGTCCGTGGGGAATGAAGGAATGGATCTAGGAACTTGTGTCAGGGACTGTATGCAGTAGGACCTACTTTAGAGATCCGCTCCGCCAGTCCCTACTAACCACTAGTCACTTGTGAGCTTTGTTGGTCTCCGGCCCGTCTTGCAAAGTGTGGTAGAGGGCAGGCTCTTGCTGGAGGCAATCTTGCTCGCTCCGCGCACTTGATCCTTGTGCATAACCACCCAGTCCATTTTGTGGAAACAGGTTTCTGCTCCTGAGGCCCAAGCTCTCTCGCCTTCCTGTACGAAGGATCGCAGCATCCGGCTGGGGCATGCTGTGTTCGGATCCTTTGTGTATTTGGGGTGTATTTGGGGATACTATGGTACCCAATATTACCCCAATAATGGAGAATCAAATGGAAAAGAAAATGGAAAATGAAATGGAAACTGAGATTATATAGGGGTTATTTTTTGTGTCATTCAAAATACATTGGAATGCTACGCTTTGCAGCTCGGCAGGGGTTACACGCAAACAGCTACTCGTTCTGCTCCCTTTGTGATTCCGCAACACACATTCCTTAGCCAGCACTGGCTAGCATGCGGCATGATGAAACAATAACTGCCCGCAGCACCGGTGACGATGCTTGAGGTGTTTTGCTTTGAGACTCCACATGGTGGCTCTTCATTTAGATATTTAGTCTCCTGTTGGTTCTGAAGTGGGAGTGAGAGCTTCTCTAGCAAGAGTCGTTGCATTGCTTCACACTCTCCCTCCCCAATACCACTGAGACAGAGATATATCAATGACTGCAGAGCCCCCGCGCTGCAGATGCAGCATGTGCGCTACTGCAGACTCATGGGCAGTTGTGTACAGTCGCCCGTAAAGAGCCTTGAGGAACCGCGATAGGTGTTCTCCATCTCTAGATGGCTGGAGCAAAAATCTAGCCAGTCCCTGTCCAATCCACTTTCACAAATCTACAAATTCCTGGCTATCGATACCCCGATGCTGCCACTCCCCGATATGGTTGTAGGGGAAGCGCTGATCGCTCCGACCACCAAATCATGGTGAGCATTTTCGTTTTTTGAGGAGAAGATCTCCATGGCGGGAACATAGAAGGGCTTTCGCCATCGACAGACTCAACAAGCATGCAAAGAGCGTTTCCAGAACTTTGGGTCAAGACGGTGAAGTTTGCAAGCAGTTGCGATTCCAAGTTTTAGGTATTCCGACGCGATCGTACCCGTTAAGACTTACCGGTCAGACGCAGTGGTCAGGGCAGGCGTAATGACATTGTTTGCCAGTGTGGTTGAATTGGATCCAACCTTCGAAGATTCGAAAGTATGGCAGGTGGTTTATCATTGTCTAGGTGGACCCCCCCCACTCTGTCATAGTGGTATAATAGGAACATAAGAAAACCTTAAAATGATCACCATTATCTCTCATGTGACTATTACATGGTGTGGGTCCAAAAAGGCACTACCCTAGAATGCATCCTTGAAAACTTGGTCGATGTTCAAGGAGATCTGAGAATCTTTGCAAGAGACGCCTAGAATCCGTCCATAACTTCGACCCCGATCTTGAGACCCCCTAAATAGTAGTTTCCATTTCCTTTTCCATTATCCCAATATAACGCCAATAGGACCCTAAATAACCCTAATATTACCCCAATATATACCCTCCCCCCCATCTTGCAGCCGGGCTCCAGCATTTTCTGCCATTTGGGCACTGCTTTGCGAACTCTTGGGGTCCCAGTAGTGAGTGGGGTTGCGTTCCCATAAGAATCCTCGCAGCTCCAGAACCTGATCTAGTTGAGAAAGGAAGTGGATGAAGAATTTTCTGAGCGGCCAAGCATGCATTCGAACGTCAGCACGACCCTGCTCTAGATGGACGACTCTGGCGAGGCACGATCAATTTTGCTATCCTTGTTAGGGTGTGACATTGCTCGTTGGAAAGAACCTGAAGGCTCCATCACAGGGTTTTTGATTGGGCGATCTGAGGGCACAAGTAGGGCACAAGTAGGGCACAAGGTACAGACTTCTAAAATGGATAAAAATGGTCGTTTCCCAAAATAAGGGGACCTCAATATAGACACCAAAATAGTATAGTCCTTGTTAGAGGGACCCCCCAAAAGTTCCCCTAATTCTGGGGAACCCCCAAATCTAGAATGTGGTGCCCTCAAATGCTCTCAGAGCATGGCCTCAGAGCAAGGAGCATTGACATCAAACTGATGCAACAACTTTGCTGATGTGTCAATCCAACAGCCTGCTCGGTGTTAATGTTTGCAAGATCCCTACTATAGTGGGGATGATGGAAAAGAAAATGGAAACCACTATAGTATAATGGGATAACGGGAAATGAAATGGAAGCTACTATAGTATATCTTGCAAGGGGCTATCGGGATCTCACCTGCAAGTAACGTCAGACGATTTTAATGAACCTCCAGATTTGTTGTCTTTTTGATACCCTATTACAATATAGTAGTTTCCATTTCATTTTCCATTATCCGAATCCCAATATAGCCCGAATGTACTATGGTAGTTTCCATTTTTTTTTGTCATTATCCCTCAGAACCTTGTGTGTCCCATGAGTTAACGAAGATTGCGGAAGCTCGAGATTCTCAGGTAGCCTACTTTGTTCCAGTAGCTCGATGACCGTGTTCCAGAATAACATGAGCTATAGTCTGCTCCTTAAAGGGGCTTATATAAGGGAATATAAAGAGGAGCAATATACGGGTTATTGAGGGGGATGCAAGGCATCAAGATTATCCCTCACATGTATCAGCGTTTCAAGGCGCAAGCCAAGATAGCCAAGAATCCGCTGCATTCTCACCCTCATAGTCCCCTACAGAGAGGTAGAAGACTCCTCTCCCGGTGCAGCGGTGCAGGCCATCTAGTGGATTTTGGGTTGCTAATACCGCTCATACTGGGCTTTTTGCAAAATCATAGGAGTCTGCATTCTCTCTTGTTCGGGGCGTACGGGGGCACCAGTTAAGATTAGCAAGCGTCGCCTGGCAGTGGTCAGCATCGTCATTGGCGGCATTGTCATGATGGTGGGGGTGGTGGTGGCGGTGGTCGCGGTGGCAGTAGTACCAGTCATGGAGGGCAGTAGGAGTAGGCCTAGAAGTAGTAGGAGCTCGGCCGCAACTCTTATGGCACCGCATAAGAACAAGAGTCTAGATCCGAGTGGTAAAAGTCATGTGTCAGCAATCACAGTCAGAATGCTCTCGAGTGGAAGGTTTTGGAGCCATAAATGAGAAATCATGCTCATGTTAGCCGCAGTGCTCCTAGCAAACTGCGCACTATCGACAAAACGTATCGTATTAGGAGGTAGCGCAGACAGGGTGTGACTTATGATTTTATGTTGCTGGTTGACATGGGGACAAGCAGGAACTATCCTACTCTGAAGGGGCAGTATGCCAGTGTAAGGTCTTGAATGTTCTACGCTGCTCTACCTGAGTTTACCGAAGTTTAGGCTTTAGATTTTAGGGTTTAGGGTGTTTCCAAGGTGGTGGCTTCTTTCTTCTTTCCGCAAACAAACCACTGCTGTCGGTGGTTTAGAATGGGCTCAGGTGAGAATAAAGTACCCCTGCGCCCTAAACCCACCCTGTAATCCTTGAAGAATGCTATTGTAATACCCTATGCAGCCACATCATAGCCAAGTCCTAATCTGTTTAGTGGAGGTTCGTGGGGTTGTACAAGGAAACCCCTGCTTGAAGGCAACCGAAAAGGAAATGCCCTGTCCGCCTGATGTATCCCTACCAGCTTTCAAAATGACCTCTGTTAGAGAGATCTCAGATTATGTTCTATACCAGTAGCAGTGGCGCTTGCAACAGTGAGCTTGCATAGAATGCTGAAGACAAAAGGGTTATTCTCGAAACTATGGACCCATTTTTGGTATAAACTACAGTACGGCACCCAACATTTAAGGGTGCCAAAATGGGACCCTCATTTTGGGAACTACCCAAATACAATCAAATGCAGGGACAGCCTGTATAAAGTTTGGTCCCTGTTTGGTGTTCCTGTATTGAGATGGCGCATTCTAAAAGGAGCCCCCTGAACATGATCCCTAAAATAGCCTCCCTGCAATCCCTCTATCCCCAGGGTCCCTGTGGTTCACCGTTTTGCCAAAAAGCCATCTAAGGAATCTAGAATCTAGGGTGTAAGCAGAAACCCCTTCCTTCGGCAAACCCTTGCATGCCGTGACCTTGTTCAGGAGTTGTCACGAGTCGCACCGCAAGGCGATTCAGGGTTGAGGGTTTAGGAGGGGAACCGGGTGAGCTTCAGAATTAATGCCCTCAATAGCAAGTCCCTACCCCAACAGTAAATATTTCCAAAATAGTATACTTACAGATTGAGGACACGTTATCTTGTTGGGGGCTGTTTAGAGCAGAAGTGAGCCCCACTACATCCTACTACCTAAACCCTAAGGAGGTTTGTTTCTTCTTTCCCCGATTTATGTCTAATAAATCCTAACTCGTATTTTTCTTTTCCAGATGCATTTCCTTTCCATAATTATTCCCAATATTAAAATCCTAGGTGGTAGTTCATATTCCTAATATTACCCACACCCCCCCCTATTTGCCCGCAGCATCTTCATCTTACGTGCACATCCGCGGTCATAGCATACGTATAAATAATTCCACTGCAAGATTGCTGTTATTTACAGCGAAACAACATTCTAGCGAATGCATGCCAGCACCCATAATAACATTCACTTGACCACATCCAGAACAAGTGAATCCATGCCGGCGCCCATATGAACGTTCACTTCGACCACATCCACAACCAGCAAAACACTGCAATACACAGGACATTCTGGTGAGCGGACATTTAGCGCGGGCAAATAGAAGTGCGGGGGCGTAATATTAGAACCCAGACCCCCAAAAGGATCTAAAAATTAGATCCCCTAGAACCATAGGGGGATTCATATGAGGATTATATAGGGGTTATAATAGGTCTATATAGGGGATCTAATTTTTAGATCCTCCCAGGGGTCTGGGAATCCTGAACGCTACACCCCACAGATCGGGAGCGCCTTCGCAGCGAGCAAGCCTGGTCCAGCTACAAGGCTGGAGCTTGATGCTTAGGGTTCAGGCTAAAATTTGGGGATTTCCCAAAATTAGGGGTACCTTTATGGGGGTCCCAGTAGTAAGGAGTACAGTATCTTGGGGTCTATTTTGGAGTCCCCTTATTTTGGGAAACTACCATTTTGTAATATTAGGGTTATAGTGGGGTTATATTGGGAGAATGGAAAAGAAAATGGAAGCTAATATATAGGGTTCAGGGTTTAGGGTCTGGGGTTTAGGGTTTAGTCTGTAGTATTCTTTGGATTGGGGGTCCCACTTGGGATTTCCTTTATAGAGACTACATGTTTCTGCGTATTCAGCAGAGCCCCTGTTTTGGAAACATCCACAGGTCTTGATAGTCATGATTTGTGAAAGTGTTGGCTATCGGTGTCATCACAATGGTCGTCAGTTTCTTTTTGGCACGCGAGCAGGAAAGCATATCTCGCTATGAGCTGCTCACATTTGGTTCCTACATCAAGTCTTAGTGTTACCCGTAGTGACTCGGCAGTGTTGTGGAAGATTCCATGTATAGCAGCCTCTGCGTGGATTGAGGTTGATAGTTCAGTTGAATGCCGGCGATTCGTGAATCATGCTGCTGGAAAGGATTGTTTGGTGGCTGGCACCTAGGCATCATGAAAAGAGGATGCATCTGTGGCTTCAAAGTGACCTTGTGGCCAGGACTTCCTTGCAGCACCTGGGGATAAGTGCCCTCAATGTTGGCTGATGAGGCCTGTGCACCCACCGGTCAACTGCAGAGTTGAGGTTTCAGCTAGCTGAAGCAGTGGTTGATCTTGGTATCAGCAACGGAACGTTCAACGTACACATGATCAGAGCATAACAAGCACAGCTGCAATTCGAGATCCTGGGGGAAGACTTGCAGGAAGCATTGCTGCTGCGAAGGGCTGCCACAGCCTCTTGGCAGACCTTCAGTTTTGGTTGCCGAGTTGAGCTGGAGGGCATGGGGCATGACTCTGGCTACATGCATGCTGCATGCGGCCAGGTGTGAGACCCGGGTGCGGGTCTATGTTCTCATGCACCGTTTAGAGATGGGCCAGCGCCGTGGGCTCAGCGAAGTGCTTGTCGCTGCCGCAAGACCTGTAGTAATATCAGCAATAATAGTAGTATTAGTAGCAATAATCAGAAGAGTAATAGCAGCAATAGTAATCATAGTATTAGTAAGTATAGTCATGGTAGTAATAATAGTAATAATTCGTAATTGTTTTAGCTGCAGCCTTCCAGGAAAGGCTTCGAACACTGCCAAGCTTCTCCAACACTTTGGCGCCGCATCCCTAAGACTTCCTGCAATATATTGGGTTATATAGGGATCATACAGGGGTTAGGGTCTAGGGTTTAGGGTTTAGGGTTATATAGGGGATCTATAGGGATTAAATAGGGTTATTATGAGTTATAGTCTAAACCCCTTAAAAGAGGTTATATAGGGGATTATATAGTCTAAGGTCAAAACCATGGGCCCCTAGTATGGGCCCTTAACCCTGGGATCCTTATATGCATACTATATACCCTATATGTACCCTTAAGGGTCCCTAGAATACCCCTAAAAAGGCCTAAGGGCCCATATTAGGGGCCCATACTTCAACCCTGAGACATAGGGGACTACTCTAGGGGTCATTACGGGAGATACTAGGAGTTTAGACTATGGCTCTTATAGGGCTCATGTTCACCATAGGGTTTAGAGGCTCTGGCAAGTCCAGGCGTCAGCGACATGGGGCTTCGATGGCTGCCTTAGGGAACGTCTGCCCTGTCAAGGCAGAACTATTGTGCTGGGGAGTGGAGGAACACGATGCGAGGCCTGACTTGCAACAAAGTCTGCGACACTGGTAAGCCTTAGAGACTAGCCACTGGCCTGTAATCCACCCTCACATGTGTCCAGTCTCTAAGCCAAGCATGTTAGATCATTAGGCAAGATTCTGGTACCGTCGCTTCCAGCCAGAGGCTGCGCCAAATTTTAGAGGACGATGAGGAGGGCAGCCTGGTGCTCTTCCCGAGCCGCGGGCTCTTACCACTTGCCTTACTAGGGTGGCTTGTGCGCACCAGTAAGGCCCAGATGCGGTGCAGGCAGGTTAGCGACTTGCGTGCTGCTGGCATAACATTTTTTTGTGCGCAATGCATCCAGGCTCAGAGTTTGGGGACAGCACCGCGTCAAGTGGTTGTCCTGGATGGCGGATGGCGCGAGTGCGCCTGCTGGAGAATATTTGCAGGGATCAAGGGGTACATGGCTTGAAGGGTTGTATGGCTGGCTGCAGTTCAAACATTGTGTGCAAGCACTGCTGTTTGTTCCGGGCATCTAGCTAGATTTCTACGGCTGTGGCCAGGTGTGTTCGGATGAACAATTGGATCAGCCGGGCACCAAGGCGAGTCAGTGTTTGCGGTGCCTTGTGCTGTGTGAGGGAAGTGCCATGCAGCGTGCTTGCAGACATTCGGGTGTCAAGAGCCAACAGGTCTGTACTCCATGCTTGAAACATCGTGAATCATGAATGAAGTGATGTGTAACAAGAGTGGAGTCTTTCTTCCATAGTCCCTGACATTTGTGCAGCACAAGCTTGGAGGCAAGCTGGCAGGAGTCGAGTGTTGCAAGATGTTTTGATAGGCCCTTGAAACCATTTGAATGTCCTACGAGCACAGGATTTGGCAGGTACCAGTAGTTGCTGTTAGGGAGCCATGGCCAAAGTCGCCAAAACCCCATCAACAAGCACAATTGAAGCTCGGCAGCAGATTGGAGTTCAGCGCCAGACGCACGTTGCGATGTTTTCCTCTGCGTTGCTTCCGACTTGTCCAATGCTGGCAGTCTGGGCATCCGAGGTTGAGCGCGCTCAGGTGCAGAAGGCACATTTGAAAGCTGGGAATACTTCGGGAAAGCCATCTGCATTCCATCAGAGATGGTGGAGCAGGCGATTTCGGACCTGGAGCGCAAATTGCACGAGGCCTGGCTGCGCAGAGGTCCGTGATAACCCTTGCAGTTTGGGATGCCAAAGGTTCAAAACATCCACAGCATTGTGGAGTTTGATGCTGATGCACTCTCAGCCCCACGGGCTGCGGGAGCCTCAGAACACATCTTACAAGATGCTCCAACCCTTCCCCGAAGCTTCATTATTACTACTATTAGTGCTACTGTTACTGTTGTTATTAATATTTATCCAGCAGGTGCCCTCTGAGCGCCGGGATCCGCGCCTGCAGCTGGCCCCCGGCGGGGCCGCAGCTTTGGCGGCAGAGGTGGCGGAGGCGCACTGGAGCGACACTTTTTGCTGTAGGCAGGGGCTGGGGGAATAATAGGTTTTAGCTTGGGTACTGCCCCCCTCACTAACAGTTGGATAATAAATATATTATGGTTATATATAGCCCTTAATAGGACCCCTTATATAGACTGCTACTGGGTGGGGGCAGTACCCAAGGTTTAGGGCTAAGGGTTTAGGGTTTAGAGACGACTATGCCGCGGGAAGCTTTCTGGTGTGAAGGAGCTGAAGGCCTGGCGGAAGCGACGTCCCGTGCTTAGTTTCACCGAAGCTTGCAGCCCCGGGTGTCGAATACGGGGTATGACAGGGTATGTACACAGGGACATGGGAACTGTCAGGAATGTACAGTGTTTTCAGGCTTCACAGGTAAGTTGGAAGAGATGAGAAATACATGGACAAGACAATTGCAAATCAAATGTGTGTGTTTTTTGGTTTGTTTTCCAGTTTCTTACCTACAAACCAAAGTTTCCATATGGAATTGGTACGTTACAGGATTCTTTTGGATATCTATGGTCTCTAATCAAATAGACCATCACTGGAGTTTATAGAGATGTGAAAGGATTCAAGTTTATGGGTTTACTAGCTGGTTGCGAGGAAGCTACTGCATCATTTGTGAGTCGATAGCGGCTTCTACCAGGGATCCATTCCTCCGTTGTCTACTGACATGCAGAAAGAGGTTGCCCTTTGTCATCAAGGTCATTGACTTGCTCGGGGTTAGTAGGGAATAGGGGAAGGGATCATGTACGGGTTATACTCTCTAGTTCTCTATTTGCACTGTTTTTGTCTTCAGTGCTATCCCTTCCCTTGATTGTGAGCGTTATGATTGCCATGACTGCGAATCTCAGCGTAACAGCGATGCCTGGTTGATACCAAGAATCGCCATTATAACAGCGGTAGCACCAGCGAGACGTAGCAGTAAAGGCAACATAAAGGCGACAATCAGAGCCGCAGGGGGTTTGCATGGGGATCCGGTATACCTCCCAGTCTTGTGGAAACTCCTCTGCTGCCTAGAGCAGAAGAGATTTGTGACTGATGGTGGATCGAGGCGAGGATGCCTATGCTCAGAGGCGAAGAGTACATGAAAAGCGCCACAGGCACTCGCTGGGCCTTCATGCCTTCTGATTATTTCTGCATATTTCTGCAAACAGTCTGCTTGTAGTATGTTTTCAATGCTTGCATTGGTGTAACTTATTAATCATCTTCTTTGCTGCTGTCATTCTTCGCCATAAGCAGGCATGACAGCCTGTGATCATTGGTTTGGCATTCCGCCCGGAATTGCATCTGGGCCCGTCAGGGATGCTGTGCTTGCCAAACAGCAGGAGGAGGAGGACGCTATCCAGTGAAAGCTTTTTGGGAGCAACAAGTGCCGCTAATGATAGTAGTAACGAGCAGCTTGAATTCCAGAGAAAGAAGCTGGTGTTCGTGATGGCGGTGGTGGCGGTGGCGGTGATGGTATGACTACACAACTAGGATGCCCGGTGCTTCTCTCAATACTAGAAATGATGCTAGCCATGCAGGACGGTACTGCAACCGTCCCCGCCATAACCACTACTCGACCTTTGCTGTTACTTGCTGGTACTGCGAATATCCAGACGATATCAGAATTTCTCTTGCTACTGCCTACCGCTCGTTCCACAGCAGCGGCTGCTGCTGATAAAGATTGCTGCTGCTACTGCCGCTGCCACGGCTGCAACCAAGTGTGTTGAACAGATTGTTGGTTGAGCTAGCTACGATAAGAGTGATACGCGTTTCTATACATGTATATGAGCAGTTTCTTTAGATTACTCTAGTCCGGGCCCTATACTTGGATTCTGAATCAAACCCCTGTACCGGGTTCCCGCATCTAGGGAAGATTAGGCGGGACGAACATTCATATACTGGGAACTACGAGTTGCAGGTCCTATGATACCTAAACCTACACAACCCTCGTGAACACAGATAAGCTCTTGTGAAACTGGAAGGCGCTCATAATATCTCTGAAGTTCTGATAGAGGACAAGCAGATGGTGCGCGTATTCTTGCGAGATGCCATCGTCGACACTGCCAGGGCAAAACTCTCGGGCCACTTGCTCCGATGGGGAAATCAAACAGGTTTGGGGTTTAGGGTTGGAAAATCAAATGGAGACTACTATACTCTTGGGGCTTCTTCTGAGGGTTTTTAGAATGGAATATCAAATGGAAAGAAACGCCGAAACTATCGTATTAATGGGGGGGAGTCCGGAGGGAGGGGATGTAGTGACGACTAGAGGGACTCACACGTTAAGTCATAGTGTCCCCAAATGGAAAACAAATTGAACAGCACCTGAAACATCGAATGGAAACTGGGGCGTTACTGGGATTATACAGATCAGATTTAGGGTTTTGTTTGTTGGTCGTCAGTGGGGAATGAATGAACGAAAAAGACAATCGAAACTATTGTTCATTCCTTACCTGGTAACAATCAGAAAGTTTTTGCACAATGCCAAGATATGCATGATGTTGGAGCGCTGACAGGGATTTTGGCGGTTCGTATGTGTCAAGTTTTATGAAATTCGAGACATGTGTAGGGGTTCCGCAGAGTTGTATAGGGTTGGAAAAACTTCCTGGTTTTCATCACGATCACATTCTTTCTGAATTCTAGAGGGTCTGAAATTCTGAGAAATCTTGATCTCGCTTCCACGAGCTTTCTCAAGCACTTCTGGGGCTGCAGCTGAGAAAGAAGAACTATGTAGCCTGGCACAGCATTTTCTGGCACCTAACACCAAGCTAAACGCTAACTGCAACCGTCTCATCTAAGCCCTAAGCCCTGAACCCTAAACTCTAAGGCCTAGTAATTTTCCTGCCTCAGGCACGCTGGCTGATGCGGAAGCATCTCCAAGGATGGCTGCTTGAGTTACACTTTAGGGTTTAAGGGCTTGTGTGGGCCATAGTCTAAAACTCCTTCGAGGGGGTTATACGGGGGATTACATAGGGCAGTATTATGGGGGTTATTAAGGGGAATACTAGGAGTTTAGACTATAGCTCATGAGGGAGGTGTACCTTTGTGAATAATGGAAAACCAAATGGAAGTCCAAAGGAAACTGGGGAGAATTCAGGGTTTAGGGTTCTCCCCCAGTATTCACATGGAACCCCAAAAGCTGTATGCTTGAATCGGGTCCACGCGGCGTTCCATGTTCGTGTGAGGGAGGATGAGTTGAGGACTTGCTATTTTCATGGGCCTCCTCACGCAAGGTGCTGTTAACTAGGTGTGTGTAAGAATACTTGAACAGCTAACTAAGCTATAAGGGGGTGATGTGGCAACCCATGATAATTGCTGGGATGTGACAGGGCACAAGCACAGGTTCGCAGAGATCTTGAAGCACGTCGGATTTGATCAAACCAACCCTCACATGGTCGTCACACGCCCCAATAAGGGAGTCCAGTGTCATCTCTGTGCATCCGCAGGGATCCTAGGGTTACCCTCATTTTTTTAATCCCTCAAAGTGGCCTTCACCTTAAATCATAAACCTTTACCTTGCCAGGAGGGAGGGTCCACCACCTGAGCTTCGTGGTTATGCAGATAAGGCTTTCTTGAAATTAGGATGTTTAGGGTGTGGGGGGTTCTCGTTTTGGGACCTGGGAGTTCCCTTTGGGCTATATAAAGGGGAACGCCAATTTTGGAAATCCCCATGGTGCCTTGGATTTTTCTTGCGGTAGGTACCGTACTCTTTCCCAAGTTGCTTTTTGGGGCCTTTGCTAGGTTCCATTCTGGTTCGAGGAGGGCAGCTACTTGTAGATGATTGAAGAAGAGTCGCTTTCTACCACGCAGCCTAGGCTTGGAGAGGATCATGCCCATGTATCTTCGGGCGCCACAGCCCTTGCCACGCTTCGGAATCACCTGGAGGACGTGGTAAGCAAACTGGAGGCACGGAATCAACAATCTTGTTCAAGATGTTGACAAGTTGGACCCTGTGCATCCTTTGCATGAATCTGCTGCAAGGATGTAGAGATGCAGCTGCCAACTGAGATGGTGCCCCGGCCAGAGCTGAAACGTTCTGCTGTGCGGAGCAGAAGTATGCCGAGAGAGTTCTCGAACAATAGCAGAGGTAATCTTGCACGACTTTCGCTTTTGCATGTTGCAGCAGTAACAG